TAGCTTGAGCCACTGCTTTGAAGGACATAAGCCATAAGTCTTGGCAGCTTCCATGTGGTGTTAAGTATGCAGGCCCACAGCATGCAAGTTTGAAGAAGACTTGGCAACTTTCCCCTCGATTTCAGAGGATATATAAGAAAGCTTGGCTGCCCTAGCAGAAGTCTGCTATAGGGGCAAAGCCCTCACAGAGAATCTCTACTAGGGCAATACAGAGGGGAAATGTGGGGTTGGAGCCCCCACACAGGGTCCCCACCAGGGCACTACCTAATGGAACTGTGGGGAGGGAGCTGCCAGCCTCCAGATCCCAGAATGGTAGAGCCACTGGCAGCTTGCAAACTCATCCTGGAACCAAAACAGGAAACCAACTCCAGTCCATAAGAGTAGCCATGTAAGCTATATCCTGCAATGCCAAAGAGATGGAACTGCCCAAGGTGTTAGGAGCCCATTACTCCTATCAGTGTGCCCCAGATGTGGGACATGGAGTCAAAGGAGATTTTGGTGATTTGAGATTCAATGACTGCTCTGCTGGGATTCAGACTTGCGTGGGGCCTATTGCCCCCTTTTTTTGGGCCAATTTCTCCCTTTTGGAATGGGAATGTTTACCCAGTGCCTGTGCCACCACAGCACCTTGTATGTAAATAACTTGTTTTCGATCTCACTGGCTCATAAGTGGAAAGAAACTTACCTTCAACTGAAACTTTAAACTTGCTCCTTGGAATCTGGGACTTTAGAGTAACACTGGAATAAGTTATGACTTTGGGGAACTATTGTGAAGGCAATATTGTATTTAAAAATGTGAAAAGGACATAATTTTTGAGGGTCCAGGAGTAGAATAAAACGGTTTGGATGTTTATCCCCTCAACATCTCCTGTTGAAATGTGATTCCCAATATTAGAGGTGGGGCCTGGTAGGAGGTGATTACATGATGGACATGGCTCCCCGATGAATGGTTTAGCACCATCCCCTTGATGATAACTGAGTTTCTGCTTAGTTCACGTGAAATCTGAAAGGGTTTGAAAGAGTCTGGGACCTTCCCCTTCTCCCTCTTGCTCTCTCTCTCCCCATGTGACATACCTACTCCTGCACTGCCTTCTGCCACGAGTGAGAGCTCCCTGAGTCCTCCCCAGAAGCAGAGTATATTTAGGTGCCATGCTTTCTGCACAGGCTGCAGAACTGTGAGCCAACTAAATCACTTTTCTTTATAAATTACCCAGCTTCAGGTATTTTTTTGTGGTGATGCTAGACACTTTCCCCATGGGTACTCCCAGTTCTCAGGTGTAACATAGCTAGAACTCAAGTAGAATGCATTAGAATTATTGAGTTGTGATATTGGTGTAGAGATTTCAGACTACCAGCGTGGTTATAAATTAAGAGTAATCCCAGAAAGTAGGGAGACAGAGAGACAATAACATTAATACCTGTCAATTAAAAATCCTCAAATCTTTGACTGACCATGGAACTGTAAATCTATTGGGGACACTCCAGTGATACCAGCAGAAGGCAGCAGATGAAAGGACTGGACAAAGATTTCAGTTGCTGCATACAGCAAATGAAATACTGTTTGGAATCTGAGTAACATCAAGGATAGAGGAGGCTAGTAAAATCTTCAGGCATTCAGTAGTTCTGCCTTAAAGTATAAACTAATGGCTCTGGATGTTAAAGGTGATCAGCCCTCAAATGCCCACCAAAAAAATGATTTCTCTGTAGAGGAAGAAGGCATAACTCAGAAAAATTATTTGTAATGTCCTGTATATAGTTTTAAAATATCCACTGTAAGTAAAAGAAAATCATGACTTATCATCATGACAAGGTGAAACACATGTTGGTATAAAGTAGTAAAACAGTATGTTAGGCTGCTCTTGCACTGCTGTAAAGGAATACTTGAGACTAGGTAATTTGTAAAGAAAAGAGGTTTAATTGGTCATGGTTCTACAGGCTGTACAGTAATAGCATCTGCTTCTGGTAAGGCACCAAAAAGCTTACAATCATGGCAGAAAGCAAAGGGGGAGCAGGTGTGCCCTGGATTATTATGTGGCCAAAGCTGGAGTGAGAGAGGGGGGAGGGGACACACTCTTTTAAATAACCAGGTCTCATAGGAACTACCAGAGCAGGGGTCCCCAAACTTTTTACACAGGGAGCCAGTTCACTGCCCCTCAGACCATTGGAGGGCCGGACTATGCAAGGTGTGACCCCCTTCACAGCCAGCACTGCTGCCTCCACTATCCCAGACAGCGGTATACAGTGTCACAGGCCCAGCACTGCCTCCAGTGCTGTATACAGGGATGGCGGTGATCAGCCTGTGGCACTGTGTATACAGCGTCCTGGACATCTGCAGCAGCGGTGGGCCTCTTCTGTGGGAAGCCCACTGCTGCATGTTTCCGTTGTTATAAGACACCTCCTAAAAATAAGACAGCCCCTGTCTTTCGGGGGTAAAATTAATATAAGACAGGGTCTTATAACAGGGGAAACACGATGTGTAGTAATGTGGGGGGAGACTTTAGGGCAAAGGGAGGTTATAGGGGCCATTATGTTGTTGTACATTTGGGGGAGTTTGGGGGCCATTGTACTGTGTAGTAATGGTTATAGTGCTTTGCCTTTCTTCCTACTTCTGCTATTTCACACTGCTTCTGGTGATGTGGGGTGTCGCAGCCACAGACCGGATGTGCGTCACATGATGCACTTCCGGAGCCATGACGCATGCGTCCCGCATCACCGGAAGTAGTACTGTACGTGAGTGAGGCTGCGCTTTGCGGCATCGCCACATACAGTACTCCAGGAGCGCATCCTGTGCTCCTCTCACTGACCACCAATGAAAGAGGTGCCCCTTCCTAAAGTGCGGCGGGGGCCAGTTAAATGGCCTCAGTGGGCCACATGCGGCCCGCGGGCCGTAGTTTGGGGACCCCTGTACCAGAGCATGAACACACTCATCACCAAGGCAGTGGCATTAAGCCATTCACAGGGGATTCTTCCTCATAATCCACACACCTCCCAACATGCTACCTTTAACACTGGGGATTACATTTCAACGTGGGATTTGGCAGGGACACATATCTACACCTTATCAAACAGTTACTATAAGTTAAAAAGTTAAGAAAATGATGGTCTTAGTGAATGAACAGATGTGAAATCTCATCAAAGACAGAGAAGCTGCCCAAATGAACCAAATAGAAATACTACCACTGAAAAGTGTTATAATTTTGTAATGGACTTAACAGCAAATTGAAATAAGGGTCAGCATATTTTTGAGAGAGATCCATAGAAATTATTAAACTTGGCCAGGCGCGGTGGCTCAAGTCTGTAATCCCAGCACTTTGGGAGGCCGAGGCAAGTGGATCACGAGGTCAAGAGATCGAGACCATCCTGGTCAACATGGTGAAACCCCGTCTCTACTAAAAATACAAAAAATTAGCTGGGCATGGTGGCGCGTGCCTGTAATCCTAGCTACTCAGGAGGCTGAGGCAGGAGAATTGCCTGAACCCAGGAGGCGGAGGTTGCGGTGAGCCGAGATCGCGCCATTGCACTCCAGCCTGGGTAACAAGAGCGAAACTCCGCCTCAAAAAAAAAAAAAAAGAAATTACTAAACTTAGTGAGCAAAAAAATCAGAAAAATATAAATAACATATTGGTGAGCTGTGAGTCCATATCATATGGTCCAACATACAATTAATTGAACTGAATTTCCAGAAGGAAAAGAGAGAGAAATGGGGACAGTGCAGTAATTTAAAGAAATAATGACTGAAAGTTTTTCAAATTTGTTGAATAATACCTACCTATGTATCTTTGAAGCTCAGAGAACCACAGTAGAATAAATACAAAAAGAGCCATACATCATAGACTAACTGCAGAAAACCAATGATAAAAAGTTATTCTTAAAACCATTAATATGAATACTATCAGATGAAAATGGAGGTCAAAATTGTTGGGGAATAAAATAAAAAATCTGTACACTCCAAGTTCTGTAGCCAGTAAAAATATCATTAAAACATTCATACAAAATAAAAACATTTTTAGATTTAAAAAAATCTAAAAAGAATTTGTAGCTGTTCTGCACTGCAAGAAATACTAAAAGGATTGGGTATAGCAGCTCACACCTGAAATTCTAGCACTTTAATAGGTGAAGGTGGGCAGATGGCTTGAATTCAGGAGTTTGAGACCAGTCTGGGTAACAGAGCCAAATCCCATCTCTACCAAAAAAATACAAAAAATTAGCTGGGCATGGTGATGTGTACCTGTAATCTCAGCTACTTGGGAAGCTGAGGCAGAAGAATCACCTGAGCGCAGGAGGTTGAGGCTGCAATTAGTAGAGGTTGTGCCACTGTACTCCAGTCTGGGCAACCAGAGTGAGACCCTGTCTCAAAAATAACAAGAAATACTAACGGAAAGTCTCTAGCCTGAAGGTAACTGGTAATAGGTGAAACTAAGATCTATAAGAAAAAAATGAAGAGGACAGGAAATTGTGTATATGTGGAAATATATAAAAGCTATTTTTTCTTTTAATTTTTATAAAAGACAACTCACTAGTTAAGCAAAACTTAAAACATTTTGTTGTGTAGACTATAATTAATGTGTATCTAAAATCTGACAGCATTTGTACATAGATTGAGGAACTGTAGGGGCTGGGCACAGTGGCTCACGCCTGTAATCCTAGCACTGTGGGAGGCCGAGGTGGGTGGATCATCTGAGGTCAGGAGTTCAATAATTGAGGAACTGTAGTTATAAATTTCTTAACTTTATGTGAAGTGGTACATTATTAATTCTAAGTATACTGTGGTAACATAAGAACAACCAGTGAAAAGGAAATAACACAAAGAAATACAGGTTAGAGCAGTAGAGCAACTAAAATGGGATTAGTATAAATGGGATTAGTATAAAAAGTAGTGAATTTGTCATCCCTGGAAATGTTCAAGTTGGAAAGTCATCACATCAGGAAATTTCAGAAAGACAGGAGATTAAGTTCTTCTTCTTCCCCTCAAAAGTTGTGATTTTGGTTGTATGACATACCTGATTTTATTTTAATCCCTCAAAGTGTTGGGAACCAGCCCATCCTCGTATGTGGGTGCCCTTAGTGCTGGCAGTGACGAGGGCCTGAGAAAAGGAAATAGAGACACAAAAGTAGAAGTTACAGCATGGGTCCAGGGGACCAACACAAGCATGGGAACCGCACCGGCCCTGAGCTCTGGGCTGGAAGCACTTTTATTACGTGCATAATCCCTTTGATCTTATGGGCATGAAAGGGGATGGTGAAGATGCAGGTAAGATAGCCAGGGTGGGGAGAGCACTTGAGATCCTTCTAAGACATGCTAAACTAGTGAGCACTTTACAGCACTTGAGATCCTTCTAAGGCATGGTTATCAGGGTGCGGCTGCATCAGAAGTATAGCGGATGAGAAGAAACCAGGTCTGACCACACCCCGTGCATCACGGGGCTTTTATCTGCGGAGCATTGAGGACATAGAGCAATTAAACTCACTCCATATTCTGAGAACCCAGGCAGAGGCTGAGGTGTTCCGTGATCTCTACCCTGCAAGGCTTTTCTCCTCCTTGCCAGCTCCCATCTGCAAAGACCCTCCCAGATCTTGTGAGCAGAGGTCGCCTCCCTTCAGCAATCTTTGCATAAGCCCTCTTTAGGAGGCCCTCATGCAGTCTCGATGTTGGGAAGGCATTCGTGAGACCGGAGCAGTGTTGCCTGCTCTGCAACCACCCCGAGGTGTTCCCAGGTGTTACTGCGCTCTGGGATGGTCTTTACCTTAGGCCTCGTGTTGCTGCTTAATTTATAATTAACTGCACCAACAATACAGTTTAGTTCAGTGTATAAACTTCAGTGTACTGTGAGCCAAGCAAGCTTATAATTCTTCAGCTAGAATTAACGTAGGTCTCCCCCTGGCCATCTTGACCCACACAAAGCAGTATGTTTCACAAGACATGTTTTGCTCTTGAAATTTTTGGCATCTTTCATGTGGCCTCTGCGGATGTTTACGTTCATAAGCTCAATTACTTGGCCTCTTTCATAAATTTAAAACAAAGGTAACACATTATTATAATTTACTGTAGTTTCACCACCAGTTTCTTTGTTTTATGCTTTCAATAAACCACTATGTCTGCATTTGAAAAATGTTCTGTGCAATTATTACTGAAAAGAACAGTATGAATTTTTAAATCTATTCTCACAGGAATATTAACAAATAACACACATATAAAGAAAAACGGAAAATTCTAGAACTCCACTCCCACATCGCTTCCCTTATCCAGCCTTCTCCCACAGTGAGGTTCTGCCAAGTACTCCTCAGAGCTTAATCAAACTTACCTCTGTCCAGTTCTTATTCTTTATAAGGTCAGAGGACCTTCAGGTTCTCCCACTTCCTGTCAGTGTACTGTGTTTCTCCCTAAGCATCACCACAGAACTGAATCCTATTGGTTTGAAGAAGTATTTGCGCCTAAAATAAGCAATTAACAAATGCCATTTTTTTCCCAACGTCAGAAAGCATGGGCAATCTGCTCCCCCTCCCCTCTTTCTTGGCGTCTCTCCCTCCTTCCCTCCAAGATCAAATTGGCCTCCTCCAGCCCTGTGGAAAAGAAAACAGAATTCCTGGGCCCCGCGCCCAGGTGTTTCCAGCCAGCACTGTATTGCCAAGCCGAGGACCTCGGGGTGGGCTCCAGTGCAAATCAAAAAAGGCTCTTGAGAAAGAGAGGTTTCTTCATTTTCTCTCTAGGCACAGTAATCTATCAGCAAATCTCCTTTTTCCCAGGCCCTGCAACCTACCCCTCTGATTGGAAGTGACTGTGGGGTGGCTTTTTTCTTTCACCTCATCAGAGCAGTGACAACTTGGTTTCTCCGTTCTCCCTCCCCCTAGGCTTTTGGGTTTCAGCGGACTTCACTGTGCCCCACCCCTTCCAGGAAGACGTACTCGCCGACTGGCAGCTCTCCCAGCGCGGGGCGGGATGGCCGCGCGAGGGGAAGGAGGGTCCAGGCGAGCCTGACCCACCCCCGGACCCCGCGCCTCGCCGCCCTCCTGCGCGCGCTGTTTCTAAGTTGAAAAATCCCCTTCCGTCTCCTTTCCCTGCCTCCGCTCCTTTCCCTTTCCTCTCTGCAAATATTACTAGACCCTGCGTCTGGCGTCGCCGGTGCCCAGCAGTCTGCGGGGCGGGCGGTGAGTGGGGCCGGAGAGGCGGGCGCAGAGCAGGACGGGGTGGCGTGGGCGCCCGGCTGTGGGGCCGAGGGTGCGGTGCGGGGAGGCCCGAAGCCGCGGTGCCTTCGGGGAGGCGCGGGGGTCGCGCGGCGTCCTGCGCCGGCAGTTCGGGACAGGGCTCTCGTCCGGCATTCTCAGGTGGTTGCAGAAGTTTTGTGGTGTCGGGCGCGCGTCTGCGGTGAAGACGCAGCGGGTTTGGGCGCGAGCTGTTTGCAGCCCAGGGTTAGGGATCTGGCCGCGCTTCACGGGCGCCTCCCTCGCGTTTTGCTCGGGCGTGACAGGTCGCCTGGTTGGGCTTCTCTTGGGTCTCTAACTGGCGTTTCCACGGCGCGGCTCTCAGGGACTCAGGCCTGGGCCCTCGCGGGTAAAAATGCTTCATGGTAACTTCTTTACGTGCTCAGGCCACTGGAGGCGGTGACTGGAGAGAACCCTCTCTCACATTGTAAATTTTGGCAAACTGGGGCGATTTGGGGCTGTGGTTGATTTGTTTCTAAAAATAAAACGTTCATATTTAAAGACTTAAAATTTTCTCTTATTTTGTGGCCTTGTTTATCTTCCCTTAGGATCTGCAATTTAGTTTTTAATTTTATATTGCAGTTAAAATGGAGCCACCAAAATGGGTACAGATGGAGGTATCATACACCAAACTTGATACTGTTTAAAGGGGAGTAGATTTCATAATTTAGATTACATTCTCCTGTAATAGTCATAGAAGACAACCTCCGTCTATCTGCTCTCATGGTTAACTGTGAAATACTAGTAGCCTTGCCATTATTAAATTTGAAAAACACAGGAATGCTAATTATTACGCTCTGTGACATGGTTTTGAATCCTATGGGCGAGTGACAAGAGGTAGGGGAACATATTATCACTTTATGCACGATGTGATTATATACCTTAATGTCCATAGGAAGCACTGAAATTTGATGGGAACCGTAAGTGAATTTATCAGAGTGTCCAATTGCATCATACTTAATTTGTAGGAATCAAATGATGTTTATGCATAAACTAGATAATACAGTAGAACAAAGTAAAATTCAGTCTGGCATGAAATAACACACAATTGAGAAGTTATTCTTTTTTTTTTTTTTTTTTACAGTGTTTTAACACATTGAGTGTTTCACCATATTGAATGTTTCACCATATTGCTCAGGCTGGTCTTGAACTGCTGGGCTGAAGCAATCCTTCCACCTTGGCCTCCTAAAGTGCTGAGGTTACATGAGCCACTATATCTGACCAAATATTTTTAATTAATATGATTTTGCTTAGCTTCATTAAAAAAATAAGATTCCAGTTGGAAGTCCATTAAGTTTGTATGTTAAAGGATTGGCATTTTTATAATATCGACCCTCCCAGCCATTATTAAGCTGTATCTGAAACTCTATTTTTATGCCTTTAAATAAAATTTTAGTCTTCTAAAATTATCCCTATTTAATTTGTTCCCTTGCATTTTATAATTTTTGTCTCTATTGTGAATGTTTTTCTTCATTTTTAATTTTCAAATGATTATTCCTAGTGTAAAGATAATAGATTTTCATATACTTCATTTGTATTTAACTACATTACTCAGCAGCCTTTTGCTAGTTTTAATAGTTTTTAAGTTGAGTTATATTTTCTGGATACATAATCACATTATGAGAAGTTATTTTTAAGAAGATGTGAAAGGTATGCATGAGAATCCAATAAAATACATAACATTTTTTAGGTAAAGATACCATTTCTCTAAAACAACATATAAATAGAATCCTAACTGAATATTTTTGTTACTGTTTTTAACTGTACTGTTTAGCTCATGCGGAAAAACAAACATTATATATTAATATTATGTATAATATATTGCAAATATAAAAATACCTATTTTATAAAATATAATTTTGACATATGCATATATATATATACACACACACACACACACACACATATATAGTGGAGACTTCTTCATATAACAAAAGGTGTTACAAAACTGTGTTGATTAAAAGACAGTGGAATAGACCTACTACCAGATATGCAAATGAAATTGAAGGGACATTTAAGAATGAAAGGAAAGCTGGCATTTGATAAGCATACATTTTAAATCAGTGGGTGGGGAAGAAGAAATAACATTTAATTGAGTGTGCTTGGACAAATGGGAATTTATTTGGGAAACCTAATAATAAAACTGAAACTTTTCCTCATGGTTAATAGACAAATGTAGGATAGATGGCTTACTAGTTTAAATCTAAATATGCAGCCTAAAAAGGAAAAAAGAAAGCCTGAATAGATATCTGTGCACATTGCATGTGGGAAAAGCATTTCTAAGCATAATACAAAAACCTGGACTCATTTAGGGACATGATTTTTATTAATATTTGCATCCCCCAAAAAGGATACAAACTGGGGACATTGTTAGTAGAAAAAAAAGAGTCAAAGCAAAAGAAATGCAAATATTAAGCAGAGTGAAGACTCTTAGCCACATTAATTATCCAAAGAAACATAAAGACATCAAATTTTGCATTAATTTTACAGATATTGAAAGTCTGATAACTTGGTGTTGAAAATGCAACGAGAGAAATATAATTTTACAAACTTTTAGTGGAAATGTGAATTGGTAAAACTTTTTAGGGTTAAAGCTGTTCAGATTTACAAATGTTCATTTACTTATTGGAATTTATTCTGCAAAACATGCTCCCAAGTGTACAAATAAAAATCTCTGTCAAGATGTTTAAAGTAGAATTGTTTACAATACAGAAAACATGGCTACAATTCTGTAGCCACTGATTGAGAATTGGTTACATACTTTGTGGTATATTCAAAAGTGAACTAATATACAGTTTAAAACATTGTAGCTCTAAATGTTCTAACTTGGAAATATATCCAAAGCATATAAGAAGTTAAAGTTAAAACACAAAGTGGAACAAAGAACAAGTTGAAACACACACTGTGTGTGTGTGTGTGTGTGTGTGTGTGTGTGTAGTGTGGTGTAGTAATGATATTTTTGTAAATAATTTGGAATATAGGCTGAATTATATATTATGGGTAGTAATGTGATATTACATATATTTATAATGTGTATAAGGAAAAATTGATAGTGATTGGTAATTTATACAGAATATTGTCTCCTAGAATATATTAGTTATCACTTACTACAGAAGAAATTGTATTTCACAAAGCTTTCGATATTGTCTCATTTTTTCTAAGTGTCCTCTTTCAACTGTTTCCTTTAAAATCCCCTTCCTTTTTCTTCTTCCCTAATATTGATGGTTATGATATTTATTGCAAGCACAGTAGTGAAGAATTTTGCCTGAGAGATTTTACAACCAGTTAACTGTTCATAAACAAAATATACAGAAATGTTCATAGTCATATATGACAATATTGTACTAAAATTCAGTTTTATAGTACTCATCCTTCAGGATGAAAGAGACAGGTATACTATTCTTTGAAAAGGAAAACGTCCAAAATTGGACTGCAAAACTTGTTTTTAATTGCATGATAAAGCTGGGTGGTGTGATAACGCCCATCATCACAGTACTTTCGGAGGCTGGGGTAGGCAGATTGCTTGAGCCCAGGAGTCTGAGAGCATCCTGGGCAACATGGCAAAAGCACACCTATAAAAAAATTTAAAAATTGGCCAGGCATGGTGGCACCCACCTGTAGTCCCAGCTACTTAGGAGGCTGAGGCAGGAGGATTGATTGAGCCTGGGAGGTCAAGGCTACAGTAAGCCAATTCCTGCATGGGTAACAGAAAGAGACCCTGTCTCAAAAAGAAAATAAAACTTGCATGACAAAAATGCAGTAAAGACAAGTGTTAAGTTTTGAAAAGATAATTTTAATATAAAATGTTAACACCTTTCATATAAAGAAGACAAGACAAAACAAAATGAAAAGCTAGCAGTGAAATGAACAAATGACAAACAGGCAGTTCACAGAAATAGAGTTACAAGTTGCTTTCAAACAAATAATAAAAGTGGCTCAGCCTCCTCATTATAAGATATACAGAAAAGAAAACTTTTTTTACATATCAGATTGACAACTACACAAATGTTGATAAAATATTGTATTAGGAATGTAACTTTTTGTCTGGGGTCTAAATTGATTCTTTTTTTTTTTTTGAGACAGAGTTTCGCTCTTGTTACCCAGGCTGGAGTGCAATGGCGCGATCTCGGCTCACCGCAACCTCCGCCTCCTGGGTTCAGGCAATTCTCCTGCCTCAGCCTCCTGAGTAGCTGGGATTACAGGCACGTGTCCGCGCCAGCTAATTTTTTGTATTTTTAGTAGAGACGGGGTTTCACCATGTTGATCATCGATCTCTTGACCTCATGATCCACCCGCCTCGGCCTCCCAAAGTGCTGGGATTACAGGCTTGAGCCACCGCGCGTGGCTGATTCA